GGAGGAGGAGGAGGTGGAGTAGGAGCATGCAAAGCGTTTTCTTCAATCTTCTTCTCCTCCTCCTCCAGGAACTACAAATACAGAAAAGCTCCGAAAGAAGGATGTAACTGCAGAAAGGCAGGTTTATTACTCGTAATGAAGTTGTATAGCAATGTAAAGATATGATGAAGAGAAAATTAATATTTAAAGAAATTAAGTGAAAATCTGTAATTTACCATGTTCCAAGATAAAACTAGTAAGTACACAGTCTGTCATAAGGGATTTTGCTCTGTTTGATGGTGACTCTGCTATTCATGATCTAAAAATGGTAAGAGGACAGGCTAGCATCTTGAAATGGGATGACTTGAATCCAGATGCGGAACAGAAACACTTCTGAACATCTTCTATTCTTCAGTCACTTCCAAAGAAAGAATCTAAAGCTTGGACCTTCCATTCTTGGCAGCAAAGGAAATAAAGGACTTGCAGCTTCTTTTGATTACCAGTCTTCTAATTGTCCATGTTAATATTTGTAATGAGAGCTATTCTCTTTTTGATTACCATGCTGAAATAAAGTTATGTGTTCTGACCCATTCCAATAAATTTTTAAAAATTTTATATCTGAACATGTATTGTCAACTTTTTCTTTTCTGTCTGGTTGCAAAACAGCTACCATAAATGCATTTGGAATGTAATGATGTATAACAAGTGTGGTCAGATTGACCAACTCTGCCTACTTTGACATCTATAAAATGGTTGTATAATGGAGGCTGTATATAGCATCTATGGCGAGAAGATAAGAATTGGTATCTACTTACAGTATGTTGCTTTTCCTTTGGATTCCAGGCCTGTTCTGGTCATTAGAGCAGCTCAAATGTTCCCATAATTGTGCTCTGAAGACCTCTGTGGTCAGCGATGGTGGTCTTTTACAAATAAGCTACTTGGTTATCAATTGATTGAAAATACAGCCATTAGATCTTCAGTAAAGAAGCTACTAGCTTAACTGTTAAGCTGCTCCCCTCTGTTCTTTTCTTCTTCCTTAGAGTTCACTATCGTCAAACAAGTAATGCAATAGGAGGCTTCCTGATTATCTCATCTTTCGAAGTGCTTGCATATGGTTAATTAAAATATTTCCCCCTGAATGAAACAAAAAAATAGCATCAACTTCTTGTACATGACCCAGAGAGCTCCAGCTACTGGGTAGTATAGAAATAAATGAGCCTTCCAATATGCTTTGCACGGGGATCCTTTCAGGGTAAAGTTTTATCTCAAGCTGTTGCCAATTGGGTCGCCATCATAACACTACCATTAATAGTTTCTAGCATAAATGGGGCAGTAAAAACTGGTGAGTCAGTACTGGAGAAACAAGTTAATAACAAACTCCCATCTTTTCCAATAGTTTCATTTCCAAGGGCAAACAATAGTCTGCCTTTGTAACCTTAGCAGAATTTAAAGTTCACTAACCCCAAATCAGTGGAAAAAATTGACAACTGGATTTATTGACGTTATTTTTCTACTAAAGGCTTCTGTTAGACTGGCCTGTGTGTTGCGAAGTAAATTAATACTCTGAAAAAATACTGCATATCTTTAGCTATATTTGTTCTGATCACTGAATTGACTAATTTTCTTAAAATGCCTTTGTTAAGAATCCTGCAGTTGTCTTAAATCTATCCAATCCATTTCCGTATTTGTTGGAACCTACAATGAGAAATGTGTCATGCATCTAGGAGTCCTCTGTAGGCCCTCTCCCCTAAAGGTTCAGACTTTTTCTAGGACTCCTCCCATCCAGACCCAGCTGATTTATAGAACTCTCCTAGTTCCTTAACATGTAGGGTGAAGTATGTCAATGTTCAAATCCAACCAGACCAGAACATAAGCATTTAATGGAATAAACATGTTTGTTTGAATAGTCAATATTCAGTACAATGGATAACTATAAATACAGATTTATTTATTTATTTATTTATTAAGACATTTATATGCCGCCCCATTCGCCAAAGCCTCGGGGCGGCTCACAATATGAAGAAAATTACTAAAGTGACAATATAAAAATAACAATATAAAATAAATAACAATATAAACATACTGCGCCTTTCTGCTTTTAATAACTCCTTTCGCTTCCCATTCATACCAATTCTACTCAGTCACTAGTTCCTCATGATCTTGCTTCCTGGAGACTTGGACTCGTGGCAATAGGAATGCAGCCAGGAGCCAAGCCCAGGGCATCTACCTCTTTCCTACCCGCAAACAGATTCCTCACACATTGCTGATTCTGGCAAAAGGATACGCCATGTAAACCATGCAGAGTTGTTTGTCAACTCTTTGGACACAGTCTAATTCTCGTTAAATTCTCTCTCGTTGGAACCTTCCTATTTAGTCTCGATCTATTGCTAATGTTTCTAAATTGCCTTATCAGCTGAAAAGCTATCAAGCAATTGAATTGATAAAGCAATTGAAAATCCAAAAAACAGGACTATTAACACAAAGTCTGAAATGAAAAGTTGTGTTAAAGCACCCTTGAGAATGTGTGTTAAACTTTTAAGGGAATGCATTGCACAGTCTGGGGGCGACATGGAAAAAAGTCCTTTTATACATGCCCACAAATAGACCTCTATGGGTTGTCCATACAAAACAGTAAACCTTCCATTTATCATTCTCTGCTTACAGAAATGGGGTGGGGATACCTCTTGTCTTAAGCGGTTAGACACAGATGAAGTTCCTAAGGTGCCATTAAGAGTCCAGAGGTAGGTATAGATTTTATTTTTTTAACTAATCAAGATGTAATTTTTCTCTCTCGGCACTGCCTTAGGCCTGCTTTCCTGTGACTGTGCTTCTGGGTGCAACCAAGAAATCATTTATCTCTCTAATAGTGCTCCGCAGTGCCATTTATTAGCCGATAACCATGAACGATTTGCGTCAGTGCAAACCGCTCATAAAGCGTTTAAGACATACGGACATGATACTTTTTTACGTAGGGGATACTCTGCCAGTCCCAGCTTGTGCAAGTCACCAACTTTTTTCCCCCTGGATTGATAACAACAACCCCAAGATAACAGAGAAATGAACTTTAGTGCAAGTTGATCTATAGGGTCAAGTCTGAATAAAGAATAATGACAAATTCATTGCCCTCACCGTTCCAGGAACCTCTTGAAGAGAATCGCCGCTATTCACATTTGGTTGTTACCACCATAAACCAGTCATTCAAGAATCATGGAAGAGAACTTTTCTGCTCATTCCCCACCCCTGCTTTTGTATGTGTTTTTCAACCATACTTCAAATAGCCAGCAGGGTGCATTGTTTAACAAAAGCCACATGGTAAAAAAAAAAAAAAGGTAACCTGCTATTTCTAACCACAGGGGGCACAGCTTTAAATTTTGAAGCTGGACAGGGGAAAAAACCCCATCTGGTTTTGCTTGGTTGCTTCCTTCTTTCATATATTTTATTTTTAACAAAACAAACAAAACACAACAAAAACATAGTACAGCAACATCAAAAGCAACTTATAGCCCACACAGTAACAATCAGAGATACGCCGAACTGGTCTTATGACTATTACTAATGATACATATGTATACATATTTCTTTTTCTTTGATTTATGCACCACCATTTTTCTTACAAAGAACCCAGAGCAACTTGCATCATTCTCCTCCTGCTGCTCTCAATCTTATCCCCACAACAACAACCCTGTGAGGTAGGATGGGCTGAGAGTCTGTGGCTGGCCTGAAGTCATTCAGTTGGCCCCATGGCTGATCAGGGATCAGAATGCAGATCGCCTGAGTCCCAGTTTTGCACTCTCAACCACTACCCTGGTTCCCAATATACATATATGCTCATGTATGCACACGTGCACACATAACTATGAAAAGTCCTTGTTCCACATCCTAAATATAGGTTGCAGTTGGACACGACTTCGCAACTAACAGCAACAACAACAAAGGCTGCCCAAACATCAGAATGTGTGTTGAGATGGTGTTGTCATCGGTAGGATATCATCTCACAGGATGCCAGTGTTTATTTATTCATTCATTTACTTAAAACTTTTGTAGACCGTCCCGTTACCAAAGTCTTGGGACAGTTTAACAATAAAATGCAAGAAAAGAAAAAAATAATTAAAACACAGCATCCTAAAATTTAGCAATAATAAAAACCCCACTTAAAACAGTCAGGTCTTAAAACATTGGGAAAATAAAAAAGTGCCGAAAAGAATAAAGTGATGGCACCAGGCGAGCCTCTCTGGGGAGCAAATTCCACAATTGGGGCACCACCGCAGAGAAGTGTTGCGAGGAAGTGGTTTGTCTTGGCCCCCAAAAGGGCTTGTGCAAACCATTTGCAGTGGCCAGAGGGGAGCTTCCAGGGTGTGGGAATGTAATTCAGCGATGAACCGGCATCTTTAAACACGAATGGGATATTTAGGATATAGTTGTGGTGTCTACTCATTTCTGTCCAGAAGGATGCCACCACTGAACATCATGCGGTGGCGTCCGCATCATGTGTACAATGATGCTTCCACCATCCCGCCCCACGAGCCTTTACTAAAGGGTGATGCTCAGCTTCAGGGAAGAATGAAGTGGGCAGGTGTTCTGAGTTTGTTTCCACAACTCCGGACTCTCTTTGCTGACCTCTCAAGTTAATTTTGGGTGCCTGTCCAGAGAGCTGTGCTGTCTGCTTTGCAGTTCAAACAAGGCAGCTTTGCCTGGGTGTGCTGGGATGTCATGCTGCCACTCCCTGCTCCTCAGCAGCAGTTCCTAATGCAAGTATTACAGGGAGGGATGATTAGAGGGGATGGGTAGGATTATGCGGTGGGCTTCCCATGTGTGTGTTCATGTTGTGTTTTGCTGTGCCATGCACGGCATATGGGGACAACATGACCTGTACCAACCACTAGTCAACGTAACTCAGGGTATCCGCCCCAGCCAG